GGGTGGGGAGGGGCTGTGGCTGCCTCTGGGAGCAGTCATCCCCACCTACCCAAGATGGAGAGTGCCATGTGCATGGCAGGTGTGGGTATTTTAAGCTGTTAGAGGGAATTTAGCAGTCTGGGGTGGGTTGTCCTCTGCCTGCCTGCCCGCTATTAGCTTCAGCTCCTTCCACAGCAGAAGAGTCAAAACAAAAAACTGAACCTGGAATGCACACTAATCATGCTTCACGCACTTTAGTGTAAGGTCGCAGTGGCACAACACATCTCCAGGTCTGAGTCTGGGCTGCTTTTCTAGGGTCTCCTGCAGCAGAGTAATAATAATTGCTCTACAAGAAGCGTTTGTTCATGGATAATTGTGATAAAGGCTCCGCTTTCCTCTGTGCCAAGCAGAAGAGCAGCCTTGCAGGGGCTGAGCTGCTGGATGTGGCTCCTCGCCTGAGCAGTGAACAGTTGCATGGCTGCTGCACATCAGTTTCGTGGCTGGGGGTTCCTTGCACTGACTGCCCCAGGGGGCCGGTAAAACGCAGGAGAGCTGGGGTCCCCACCGCCCCGCTGGGCCAAACCTACCGAGCCCCACAGCCCGTGTGTCCCCCTTCACCCTCCCACTGTCCTCCACCCTGGCGCCCGCAGCTCGACTCTCACCGTGCAGAAGAAACCAGCCTGATGAAAAGCTGGTTTTCAGCCTCTCCACTCCTGGCTCTGGGAGCCCAGGAGGCTGTTCCTACCACCAAGGAGGCACTGTCTCCGGGCACTCCACCTTCCGAGTGGAGAGTGGCAGGAACGTGAGTGATGCGGGAATTGCCATCACACCACTGGGAAGCCAAACGTCGGACCAGGCCACGGCTCTGAACTTCAGGGCTCGCTGTCAAGCCGAGTGTGCATTAACGTACCCTTTTGTGACCAAGCTACAGATGGTTTTCCTGTCTGGAACAGCAGCTGCATTGTTGTATGAAGAGGCTTCTCCACTCACTAATGAAGGGCAATCGTAAGAGTGTGATCTGCCCTGAGAGGATGGGCAGAGCTGGAGAGATGTGACTCAGGGCAGGGCTCTGACACTGAAACTGAAAACAAGACATTTATAGCAACCCAAAAGATAATTGACTCCTTGAAAAATGCATAGGCCTTGCTGTAATTTTAATGGAAATGCCACTTGAGAGACTAGCACAACATTTTTAAAAGTCACTTCAAATTGTCTCGAGTTCAGTATTCTCCAGAAAAAAAAGTAAGTATACAGACAGCACTATGGAAGAGAAGGAAGCTTTCAGCCAAAAGGCAGAGTTGGAGACACTCTTGTGTGTTGTAGTGAGTTTATTTTTAACCCACCTGCATATTTTAAACGAGGTGACCTTTGTAGAAGGTCTTCTACAGTCTTTTAGAGCTGGCAGAGGTCCCGTTATGTGCGTGTGATAGTGTATGGCATTTTATATTAGGAGACGTGGGACAAACCCCTGGGTCAGCAGGGATTATCCAGATAGGTAATTCAGTATGTTACACCCGCTTCTCCTCTCGAAGGTTTGGTTTAGACATTCAGTAGCACTCAGGTCGACTGCTTGGCTTGCAGTGGTGCAAATGTGTGGTGTCTCAGGGGAGGTGTGTCACTAAACAGCATGTTTAACTGGCAGCCTCCTGAACACAAGTGGATAATGCTTCCTGACCAACTTGTGGCTCTAAACACAGGGAAGGAAGGAGTGTCACACACTGCAGCCTCATGAAGGTTTTCAGGGCTCAGAGTTACTCAGTGCTGCTACAAATCTGAGTTCCCACCTGGTGACAATGTTATCTGGAGTGCCATGTGTGGGGAGGTGATCCTGGAGGCTTGTAAGGGCGTGAGAGCTGCAGACTCTACGATTTGTGGTTTATTGTCCTTCAAGGAACTAAATGCCTAGGATAATTCATTAACATCTCCAGAATTCATTACCATCTCCAGAAAGACATCTCTGGACAGGGTCCTGTACAAAGTACTTCGTCAGCGCTGCCCTGTAAGTCCATGATGGGGCAATGTGCTTCGGGAGCATGACCATGGGATGTTACATGCATGTAGGATATGGATGGGGGGTGCCCTGAGCAGTCTGACCTGGCTTTGAAGTTGTGGTGGTTTCACTCCTTTGGCTTGCAGCCAAACACAGTCACTCTCTCACTCTCCCCTCACTCTCCCCCAGAGAGCAGGGGAGAGAATTGGTAGGAGAAAAGTAAGAAAACTTTTGGGTTGAGATAAAGCAATTTCCTAACTCAAATAAAATAATAATGATAATAACAGAATATACAGATGAGTGATGCACAGTGCAGTTGCTCACCACCCACTGACTGGTGCCCAGCCTGTGCCAGCCAGCGATCCCGGAGCCGAGAGAGTCCCAAAACCCAAACCCCAGAACAGTGAGCCTGAGCGATCCCCAAGAGAATACCCCTGTGTTCCAGTCACCCCTGGTTAATGTACTGACATGACGTGATATGATCTGGAATATCTCACTGGCACATCCAAATGCCAATTTGGGGTTTGCTGTTCACTGCGCTTCTCCCTCCCAGCCCTGATGCACCCGTGAACCAGCCAAACACGCCGACCTTGGGCTCCAGCAGCAACTAACAACACTGGTACCTTATCAGTGTTCTTCTCATAACCAATCCCATACTGAAACCAAAACACAGTTATTCTAGCTACTAAGAAGAAAATTGCCTCTATCCTGGCAAAACCAGGACAGAGGTCAGCCATGCTTTAAGCATAAACCTTCTGCATCTCCATGGTATTCAGCACTTCCCGACCAGCCGGGCTGCAGTGCCGTGTTTCATGTATTCAGTATCATGTTTCTTGTTTTCATTTCAGGTCTTGTTTCAGCATAAAAGTGAGATTCACGAGACTCTTCAAAGATGTCTTACAGAAAGGAGCTAGAAAAATACCGAGACCTGGATGAAGACAAGATCCTTGGAGCCCTGACAGAGGAGGAGCTGACGAAGTTAGAGAATGAACTGGAAGAGCTGGATCCTGATGTAAGCAATTTTTACCTGAGATTTGCTATGTGGTAAATCTCAGTAGTCGTAGGGGAATGGGCTGCATTAGTAATCTGTGTGTAAGTGGGATCCTTTGCAGAGCCTGTGCTCAGTGCAAGGATGGAAGAGATTGGCCACAGGTGAGCAGAAGCAGTTTTGCCATCGCAGGCGTGGGCTACACACTGGACTTTGTTGATGTGATATTCCCCTGCCCTTGCCCCAGCGTGCATGCTGTGTGTGATAAGCCCTGTGATTTGCAGCACCAGTGTAGGCCAGTGCTGGAAACTGGACCTCTGCTGCTGATCAGGCCACTTTGGAGGGAATGTTGCAGGTTTTGTGGCTTGTTTGGGTTTTTTTTTCGTAGCAAACTTCAAATGGTGTGTGTTTTCCTCCATTTAGGCAGAAATCCAAATCCCAGTTTTGCAAAATGGGACAATTGCATTTTAGCAACCTCCCAACATCAGCAGGAGCTGCACAAATGCAAACACTGGGCTTGCTGGTGCCAAGCAATGGAAGCTTTTTGGAGGCAACGTTGTCCCGTGGCCCTGGCCCAGAGTGTGCTGAGCCAACTGGCAGGCCTCTGGGCTACAGCAACATTAGGTGATGAGGCTGGGCACTGTCAAGTGAGAAATTGTTCCTGCAACAGGCAGTTAGTGTTTCTGAAGGAAATGGTGGGCAGTGTAGATTGCATCATCAGTATTTTTAATTGCAACACAGGAAAATAATTAAGAAGTGGCAGGCTAGCTCCTGGGATTAAGCAGATGGGCTGGTTATGGCTGCCTCAGGAGACAGAGTCAGGCAGCATTCTGTAGCAGAGGCAGAAAGGTACAATAATTGTGAACACCTGTCAGCACAGGTATGGCCTGCGTACAGGAGTTAAAGCATGAAGATTGCTTGGTCACCTCTCACAGCATGAAACACGAGGAAGCCAGCCAGCTGTTTCCTGTGCCTCTTGTCCATCAGCACAGTTCTCCTCTGTTGCCCTCCAAGGTTGCCCAAGTCTCATTGCTTCCTGGCAGTCATTTTCCTTCCCAGGCTTTTTGCTGATACAGATTTAAATAATAATGAATTACTTTTATTAGGCAGGCATGGAAAAGTCAGCATGTTGTTCAAAATCACCTTGAATGTCTTAAAAAGTAAACGTTGACTTCATCTGGCGAAGCTTTAAACAATATGCTTAGTGTCAAATCTGGGAATAGTCTTACTGCATTAAGACTGTTCTATATTTAAATATAAGCAGGTGCTTACATGCCATATGTGTCAGGCATAAAGCAACTTCCCATGGTGGCTGATGTGACTGAATAACCAGGAGGCAAGTTTGGAAAAGGGCTGAGATTTGCAGGGGTTTTGTTCTGCAACAGAGTGACCTTCTCTGTGAGACCGTGCCTGTAGTTTTGTGGTGGATCATGAAAGGCAGCAGAGACCACCGTGGCTCTCTGGTCTGCTCTGTGAAAAACCACAAGATTTCCCTCAGCTGATTCTTGCTGGGACACGTGAGGCATGCAGGGACTCAGACACATACATTTTTTTGGTTTCAGCAGCTTGGTTCTGTTGCTGCAGCTGTTGCAAAGAGGCAGCAGAAGTGGTGAGGGTGTGGGAAGCGGCTAGGAGGAGCAGGAGGTGATGGCTGAGAGCCCCAGAAAAAGGGCTGGAGCTGCTATTGTAGAGAAACATCCACTTGGCAGCATGGAGGTCCTGTAGTGGAGCCAGCATTTGAAATTGGAGGGGGGAAGGGGTATCATGTGTCTTAGATGACGTTTGAATCAGTAGGCTTGAATGGAGATAACCTTTAACACAAGGAGAAGCATATTGTCCAGAAGTGTGGAAGAAAGACAGTGCAGTGAGGAAACTGGAGAGGGGACAGCATTTGATGGATGGGGATCATGGTCTGCAGAGATAACCCGTGTTTCTCCCCTCCGTGCCTAGAATGCATTGCTGCCGGCGGGGCTGAGGCAGCGGGATCAGACGCAAAAGCCGCCAACTGGCCCGTTCAAAAGGGAGGAACTCATGGCCCACCTGGAAAAGCAGGCAAAGGACGTTAAAGACAGAGAAGACTTGGTCCCTTTCACAGGTGAAAAAAGAGGTATGGTCATCCTTTCTGCCATGCTGAGTGCATCACGATGAAGGCACAGTGGGTGCACCACAGAAGGGTTGTGTCTGAGCCATGTTGTTAAGCATGACTTCTTTTTGACACTGTTGGGGTGGTGGACCTGCTCTCTCTGCTGTCTAGCCCCATCCCAGGCTGGCTAATAAAGTAGGGTGTGCCCAAGAGGTCCATGCACTTCTGATTTGGGTATCACCTGATATGTTATTAAGTGATAGGCAAAACTGTACCACCGTGGAGCCTCTTTTCCATCCCCATCCCACTCCAGCTGTATCAAGCTCTGGGAAAGACATCATCTTGTGTCCTCTCTTGTGTGAGCTCTGCAGGCTGCAGTCAGTCTTCCACCGTTGCCTTTCACTCTCCATCCCTACACTCTGAACTTCATCTTGAGATAGAGAAACTCCACAGCTCCCCTCAGCTATGATGATCCCAACAGTTCCCATCTAATCTTCATCACCTCTTGACAATCCCAGCCTCATTTCACAGTCTCCTGCAGTTTTTATGTTTCTGTCTTCCTGCACTGAAGGAAGGCCTGCCTGCTCTGCATGGCCCTGGGGCCTGTGAGCAAGGGGGTTTGCTCTGCCTCTTCTCTTTCCTCTCCTTCTGGCATCTTTTCCTGTTCTCCTGCGACATGTACTGTATCCAAAAGACTTTACAGCTCCCATAAGCACTCAGAATATCATCTGACATGGGATGTGGTCCGATCAGTCCTTGCCTCTGGGTTCCATGAGCTTCTCAGCAGCTTTTTTCTGCTGTCTCTCTCTGTGCCATGGTCCCCCTGCAGCAGAAGGTCTGGTTGTGTGCTGTTCACACTACTGGTTGCCCCACATCAAAAAAGAAGTGCATGAAAGTGGTTCTGTGTGATTCTGTGGAAATGTGGGCATGCGAGCGTGTTTCCCGATTGAGGTCTTTCTCAGAGCTGGCTCCTTACTGATCCACATGTCTCTCTGAGAAAGAGCTTGTGTTAAATCTGTCCATTTAATAAAACTCGAGGTAGTATTTTTGGAAAAAAAAAAAAATTGTCCTTGAAAGGAGTTAAAAAAAAGAGTAAATTAAGTGCTGTCAGGAAGAGCAATTTATCAGCTTCAGGCATACCCCAGCTCAGTGATGGCTACCCGCCTGGCTAGCCCACCAGGTAATCGCAGTGCTTCACAGGAGAGGGAGGTATTTCAGGCATCTTGAGTCTTCAGCTTCTGGCCTGGGCTAATCGTATTTCAATCTAAAGTTATCTCAAACACATTAAACATATTTTCACCTGTAATACGCTGTTGCATGGAGACACTACTTACATTGACTGTGAGCCAGAGACAGTAAATTACACATTCACAGTTGTGGCAGAGCTGGAAATAAATCACCACGTTTGCAGTTGGGAGGGTGATTTACTAGTCAGCCATGGGAGGTGCTCTCCCTGGCCTTGCTGCTGGTTGAGGTCGGAGCTGGTGTGTGCAAACGTGCTGTATTATGATACATAATGCTCTGTTTGCTTGCACCATTTAATTTAAAGTTGTAATAAAGCACAACTGAGGTACGAAACTTTCTAAAATCAAAACGCAGAAGTTTGGATGACACTGAGATGTCAAAAGGAGTGGCTGTGTGACAGCAGGATTGAGTTTGCCCTGTTTATCCTGTTCCCTGATGAACCGACGGGACGGTGTGTACATGTGTCCAGGGGGACAGCCGTTCTGTGTCTCTGCACTAAGCCTGAGCTGAGCTGAGCTGAGGGGGCCAGCCCTCCCCAGACATTTTGCTGCAGAGAACCCAGAAGGTGCCTGGCTGTGCAGGCACACAGGATGCTCTGCCTATTTTTGCAGGAGCAGCTGTGTTCCAGGGGGCAGATTCCTGCCCTCTTTGTCAGGGTGGCAGCGTGCCGGCAGGGGCGGGGCAAGTTTGC